AAATTTTGAATTGCCGGTGTAACAGATGAGTTTTCTTCTGAAACCCAGATATTTTGAAAGAGATTGTTCAGTTTGTACACGAAGTGCATCCAGTTTTTGCCGTGACACTCTCTAATTTTTTGCACATGCTATGCGGGTGAAATGATGATACCATGCCAAGTTTCAACCTTTTCAGAGTTCATTTGTAGAGTTTTTCAATTTCAGGGCTATTTAGCTAAAAAAATCAGTAAATGCATGAAAAATAGCAAATTATGTCAGAAAGGGTTGAAAGTTGATGGCGTGGCTTTGAATGGTGCATGGTGAATGCAAAAATCGTGTGGAGTTGTAATAAGTTATTAAAATTTTGAATTGCTGGTGTAACAGATGAGTTTTCGTCTGAAACCCTGATACTTCGAAAGAGATTGTCCAGTTTGTACACGAAGTGCATCTAGTTTTTGTCGCGACCCTCTCTACTTTTTTGCACATGCTATGCGGGTAAAATGATGATACCATGCCAAGTTTCAACATTTTCAGAGTTCATTTGTAGAGCTTTTCAATTTCAAGGCCATTTAGCTCAAAACAAATCAGTAAATGCATGAGAAATAGCAAATTATGTCAGAAAGGATTGAAAGTTGATGATGTGGCTTTCAATGGTGCATGCTGAATGCAAAAAACGTCCGGAGTTTTAATAAGTTATTAAAATTTTGAATTGCCGGTGTAACAGATGCGTTTTCGTCTGAAACCTTGATACTTCGAAAGAGATTGTCCAGTTTATACATGAAGTGCATCCAGTTTTTGCCGTGACCCTCTCTACTTTTTTGCGCATGCTATTCGGGTGAAATGATGATACCATGCCAGGTTCAACCTTTTCAGAGTTCATTTGTAGAGCTTTTCAATTTCAGGGCCAATTAGCTCAAAACAAATTAGTAAATGCATTAAAAATAGCAAATTATGTCAGAAAGGGTTGAAAGTTGATGATGTGGCTTTGAATGGTGCATGTTGAATGCAAAAAACGTCCGAAGTTGTAATAAGTTATGAAAATTTTGAATTGCCGGTGTAATAGATGAATTTTCGTCCGAAACCCTGATACTTCGAAAGAGATTGTCCAGTTTGTACACGAGGTGCATCCAGTTTTTGCCGTGACCCTCTCTACTTTTTTGCACATGATATGCGGGTGGAATGATGATACCATGCCAAGTTTCAACCTTTTCAGAGTTCATTTGTAGAGCTTTTCAATTTCAGGGTCATTTAGCTCAAAACAAATCAGTAAATGCATTAAAATAGCAAATTATGTCAGAAAGGGTTGAAAGTTGATGACATGGCTTCGAATGGTGCATGCTGAAGGCAAAAATCGTCCGAGTTATAATAAGTTATTAAAATTTTGAGAGTGAGGGTGTAAACATGTAAAAATATACAGCAAAAATACATTGATCGTCAATGATCTTTTTGTGTACAATCTGAATTGTCAATATGAGTCCTCAATGGTTTAGAAACCGGTGAAGACTCATATTGCGGCCACAAATTCTACACATAGAGTTCAATGAAGACCAAGTGCTTGTGGTAGTTTCAGAAGTAACATATTTAAGGTGGTAAAAACCCTCTTAGGGGAGCGAGGTGGGACTAAAAACAACCTGCCACAACCTCTTTAGTGCCGGTTCATGCCAAGAACCAGTACTAAAGGGGCTGGTCGGGCAACAGCATGAGAACAGCTAGCCACTTCCTCTTTAGTACCAGTTCGTGGTGAACCGGTACTAAAGGTTCGCCACGAACCGGTACTAATGAGCGCCGACCGCCTAGCCGTTGGAACCGGCACTAATGGTTACATTAGTGCCGGTTCAGTTGCAAACTTGGACTAATGTGCTCCACATTAGACCCTTTTTCTACTAGTGTATTATTATGGGTAGATATATAATGGTGGGTGTTTGTTTATTTCATGAAACCATTCATGCAATTCAATCAACAAAAAAACGGGGGTGTTGCTTATGTTAGATTTTGAAAAGGTATATGACAAAGTTTGAGTGGCCTTTTCAAAATCTAACATAAGCAGCACCCCATCTTATGTGAGAAGTCATGGCTGAAATCCTTCACATAGACTCCTAGGCATGCGATGCCGGTTTTTGGGCTAAGGACAGTGGATCCTGGATGATTTTGATCTATATAATATATATGATCTATTTTTGGAGGAGATTGTGTTTAGATGTTGTTATAGTTTTTGTTGCTTTGATACATATGTTGCAGGTGGCTGGTGTTGGCCTGGGTTCTTTTACTCTTTTGAATCATTCAGAGCTTGTGATGTTATTCTCCTTAGCTAGTCTATTAACTATGGTTTGCATTATTTCTAGTTATGTTTGTTTTTAAAACAGTTGTGGTGGTTTCTCTTAGGTGGATTTGAGCCAATTTCTCCATACTTGAAGATGCACATGTTTCCTTCCTTGTTGATTAATAATCCTTGAATCAGTGTTGAAACTATAGTTTGATACTAATGCAGTTTTAGTATTACCATAAGTGTGTGCTCATTTCCAACAGACTCATATCCGATCAAGGTTCAATATATACGGTGGTTAGCCTAGTTGCCTCATTATTGTTGGAGGTGTTGTTTAAAATGGTTATGGAAGAAGGTGCCCTGACACGTGGCATGATAAACCTTTATTATTCAAATTACTCTTATGAAACATGATAGAAGACATCATCTATTGCAAGGATTTTGATGGTCCAACTTTGGAAGACAAAATACCGGCTGGTGTCACGGAAGATGAATGGAGAGTGTTGAACCTAAATGCCATTAGTATGATTTGTTTGTACATCAATAGTGATATATTCCAGCAAGTTGCAATTGAAACAAAAGCTTATGAAATGTGGTAGAAGTTAGAAACCATATTTGGAAGAAAGATATTAGTAAACAAGGCCATGGTAATCAAACATTTGTGAAGCTTGACTAGCAACATGAAATAAGGTGATTGAGAAATTGAATGTCTTCTAATATTGTCTAATCAACTCTTATCTATGAAGATCAAGTTTGACGATTAGGTCCAAGAATTGTTGCAAATGAATTCCATTCCTAATAGCCAGAACACATTTTTTTGTCACTCAACAGTTCAGGTTCAAATGGCAGTCCAACACCAGAGATGGTGAAGAACATCATGTTGAATGAAGAATCCAAAAAAATATAACATGGAGAAAACAGAGCATCTTCTATTATGCAAATGTGGCTAAACCCAAGATAAAATATGGGAATCATGGAAGTAGACATGCAAGACTCAACAAGGCATAGATAAATCTAGTGGGTGATCAAGGTTAAGACAAAAAAGAGTTTACTTGTGGCAATCCAGGGCACCAAAAGAATGATTGCATGCTATATAAAACAGAGCTTGGAGAAGGTAAAACTACAAAGTAAAACCAAGCAAATGGAAGAGACGTTTTCCGACATGACTACACAATGTGAGGATTATTTAGTCATTAGAGATGAAGAATGCTATACTTTTGTTCATGCCGATGCAATGAGTTAGGGTGTGCATTGATGTGTGTCCTTACATATCACATCATACTAAAGAGCACTTCAGATCACACACCACTTGCATTAGTGGCTCTATGAGAATGAGAGACAATGGTCTATCAAAAAAATTGGCAAACATATGCTTTAAACCAAACATTGGTTGCGGGTTGTTACACAAGGACACGATGCATATTTCCGTTATAAGGTCGCTTGATGATCTCATCAATGGCAATTACCATGGTGAAGGAAAATGGAAGCCCACCAGAGGCTCTTTGATTGTGGCCCGTGGAAGTAAGCAAGGTTATCTATCTGTTACCAAAAACCAAGTTGTACAAGGAAGTATTGAGTATTGCTGCTAAGGACATTTCAATCAATGAGTCGAACATATAATGTTATAAACTGTTCAAATGAGCATTCATGTACTAGTCTTAATTTATACTCATGAATATGGTGATCGATTTCTGATGCAATGCTTTGTTTATTCAATACACTCGTGCTTAACAAAAAGTCTGAAAATCCATATGACTATTATGTGGGTAGTTCCTATGGACCACTTTTTATTAATCTTCCGGCACTACAGGGACAAGGAGGAGCTTCTCCTTTCGGTGCACTGTTACCCCAAATGATTCAGTCATACTGATGCTAGCTTCCATTGATTCTGATGGTAGCTTCCAGTCAAAGTGGTACATGAGATTTGCTAGCATGATTTCAATGGTCACAATAGCAAAGTTGATACCTGGGCATATCCTCCGCCCAGTTCCAAAGGGCAAGTAGGGGAAATCGTTTCCCTTGTAGTCCATAGTTGCAGCGCTACCACCTTCCATGAACCTCTCAGGCATGAACTCTTCTGCGCTCTCCCAGCTACTAGGATCCCTTGCAAGAGCCCAGCTGTTGACGATGGCACGCGTCCCTGATGGTATGGTGTAGCCATTAATTTTGCAGTCGTCCATGGAGAGGTGAGGCACAAGGAGCGGTGCGGGCATATGGAGCCGAAGTGTCTCTTTGATGACTGCCTTTAGGTAGGCCAAACTGCTCAGATCGTCTTCAGCAATCATTTCTTTCCCCTTGGATATAGTGCTCCTGACCTCGGTTTTCAGCTTATTCATGAGGTGGGGTTTTTGCATGAGCCGAACCATGGCATATTCCAACACTATGAACGATGTATCTGTGCCAGCTTCAAACATGATCTGCATACATACATACACACGTATACACATATCAGAACGAACAACATATATAAGCTACACTCTCCGTAACAAATTTTTTAAAGTTTTATGTTTGTCTTAAGTCAACTCTTTTAAATTGACCAAGTCTATAGAAAAAATATAACAATATTATTGAAGCCAAATTAGCTTTGTTACAAAATATATTCCGTATACTATATATATTTGATGTTGTAAATACTAAGACACTTTTGAATAGACTTGGTCAAATATAGTTAAATTTGACTAAACACAAAGCTATAACTTCAAATAATTTGGAACGGAACCTTAATATATGTAGGTAGGTGAGGTTTGTGAGGTCATACCTCCAACTGAGCCTTAATATGGTCTCTAGTAAGATTGTACTCTTGTTGAATGGAAAGCAACACGTCGATGAAGTCACTTTCCTCGCCGCCTTGTTCTGACGCGGGCCTTCTTGCATGCTCATCGATGAGGCTATTGAGAAGTTTGTCCCACATCTTATTCACCTTCCGGGCCTTGGCGCACACCATCCTCTTGATGAAGTCCAGCTTCACCAACACTGGGAAGTAGTCTTCCAGGTTGAAACCGCCGATGAGCGACGAGTTGGCCTCGACGAGCTCCCGGAAGAGCTTGTTGTGGCCTTGTTTTCTGAAAGACTTACCGGCCACAGCATGGCAGACGATGTCGTTGGCGAATGCGTTGAGGAGGTCACTCATGTCCATGGCGATGCCAGTGGTGGCCGCCTCCCGGATCTTGGCCACCACCAACCTCACCTTGTTGATCGAGGAGGCGAGCAGAGGCAGCAATAATTAATTTCATTATGTCTGATGAGGTGGACAACATGCACAGCCACAGAGTTTTTGAGCACCTGCATCCCGGCCCTGCTATCCCGACCCTCCAGTGTCGCTTTAAGATCTATGTGACACAACTAACTTTCTACATATTTTATTCTCTTTTTTTTTCTCTCATATAGAACATGTCTTGAAGTTCAAACCTTTGTAATGCGGCAAAGCTTTCTAACTAGAATCTAGGATAATTTTTTCAGAATTTTTGGTCCGACATAAATACTAAAAATAAGATTTTTTTTAACCAAACAAAACTTATTTTGTATATTTATGTTTGACCAAAAAATCTAAAAGTTTTATCCTAGATTCTAGTTAGAAAGCTTTACTGTTTTACATAGGTTTAAACTTCAAGACATGTTCTATATAGAGAAACAAAAAAGAGAAATATACTTGCACAAATTGCGATGCGAGAAATTGATGGCTATATAAGAAGGGCCTGGATGCAGGGAGCTCTAAAACATATTCTCGCAACATGCACATGGTGCAATCAAATTCAAGTTGATGGATGGCTACCTCGTTTTCGCGCGCATGGCGGTAGGAGCGGACCTTCTTGTTGGTGAGGAGGTGCGTGGTGGCGATCTTCTTGACCTGCCGCCAGTGCTCGCCGTAGGGGCAGAAAGCGACGTCCGTGGAGCCGTAGAAGAGGATGTCGGTGACGGGGGAGTAGGCCCGGGACGCGAACACCTGATCGTGGGTGCGCAGCACGGCCTGCGCGGCGCTCGGCGAGGACACGATGAGCGTTGGGACGGCACCAAGGCGGAGGAGCATGAGTCCATCGCGTCCGTGCTCGGCGGCGAGGTCTCGGAGCGAGACGTGCGGGAGGGGGCCGACGAGGTGCAGGTGGCCGATGATGGGGAGCCTGCTGGGAGGAGAAGGCAGCTTGCTCAGCTGATCTTCTCTGGCTCTCGCGGTGACGGTGGCCGTCGACGGCGTCCCGAAGCGACGTGCCACGAGGAGTACGAGAAGTGGACAGACGAGCAGCAGAGAGACCACTAGGGCTGCCTGTGGAGACGGCGACCTCGCCTGCAGCAGCAGCAGCAGCTCGTGGAGGCCATGCTGCAACTGCGACATGGCTGTTCTGTTTACTTAATGATGGCCGCTGTGTTTCATCCCCACAGGCAGCATCCCAGCTGGCTTTATAGCTACAAGCTATGAGACTGCAGGCAGCAAGAGCAAGGCATCTTTTTTGGTCCATAGTTTATTTAGAAAACTGCAGGCCGATGTAGAGCCACGACACCATGAGAGGCTGGCTATTAATTTGCATACTACATGTGGTGACGTCTTGTAATAATCCCTCATGTCTTCGTCCTCACTCACCACACACAATAGCCCCTCGATTGTGATAGGCTTCAACTACAACAGAACCCTACGTCGATGAGCACTTGAACACAAACTTCACACCTCATCCTCGTCTCACACCGCCCGTCTCTTGGAAGGTGGCAAGCCCGCAACTGAAGTCCGGCGGCAACAGAACTCGCCGTATACTAGCACCTCAACTTCGTTATGTACGAACATGCCAAAACGCCTTGAATATCCCAAGTGCTCCTGCAGACACCATGAGATAGAACACAATCTTGCAGTACCTAATACCTATGCCACGCCTAACTAGGATTCTCCAAATCAGATACTGCTATAGTACTACTCGACGCTGGGGAATTCTGATTCGTTATCGACCCCTCATTAATAAAGAGTGCAAACACATTGGAGAGTGCTTAGGCAAATGAGTGGGTACATGAAAAGGCAAGTTGCTCTCTATTGGAGGAATACTTTGTCTTGATCAATCATGTTCTCATGAACTAGGTTCTTCATGTGCTTTCATTTTTCCAGCTCTCAAAAGGGATTCTGCAAGATCTAGATCCAAATTCTTTTGATAGGGGACAGTGAAAAGAACAAATATATCTGACCAAATGGAGTATGGTTTGTCGACAAGGAGGTCTAGGTATGCAGGACATCCATGTCAAAATAATGCCTTATAAGCTTCTTACCAAGGATGGTGTATGTTAAACCCTCTTATGCAATAAGTGCTTAGGTCCAAAAGCCTATCTCAAACATGCTAGAAGCATGGAAATTTACATTTTTGGGCAAAACTGATGGAGGCAAATAAACATATTTTCCGCTTTGATTCATTCACGATAAAGGGCGGCTCAGAGATTAGATTATGGGAGGATAAGTGGTTGGGAAATGCCACACTCCGAGAACAGTATCCATCTCTATACCTCATTGTAGTTTTCCAATCTTGATGAGACAATCAAACGCCTCTTTTTCAGATGCATGGTTGCATGTTCTACGTGATCCATCCAAATAATGTCAAATTTGTATCCACCAACAAGTGTTGACAATATATATTGTTTGCCTTCGCAGTACACCCCCCCCCCCAAAATTGTATACTAATAAGGGTGGTAGCATGTGTCTCACTATGGTCATATTGTCTCTGTTGAAATTATATGGTTTCTTAAATGTAAAAGCTCTTCTCCCATGTAGGTTATCCATCGTTGTAGGCATTGGCTTCGTACGTGGTATATGCTACAACTAATGGAGTATCTTCCTCTGTTCGTGGATGTATGTACATGTTTGGAGCAGCTGGTCAAGGAGATTTTTTCCAATATGGATGGTGGCATAGTCTCCTGATAGGACCTTCACCATCGTCGACACAGACGTAGTTTCGGTCGCACATGACTTACTCTTGCCTTTATGTCTTTCTTAATTTGTGAGACTCTTAGTGTTGGTTATGTGCATTTTAATCATGCTATATGTTGTGTGTCAACTCCATGCTATATGTTGAATTAATTTTGAGTTAGTAAAAGAGCTATTTATCAGAAAAGATAAGTAGGAATCAACTCCAAGACGGACAAACCCATAGTTGCTTTCTTAATTTAATCGCACGGCAACCTTAAACACTATTGAAACCCAGACAAAATAGACTCACCAACTAATTCATCAATTTACTCAGACGAAGACAAGATCATTTCCATCAAGAAGAAATAAACATGGCATGCAGCAAGACGTACTCTTCTGAAAACAGGCAGATAAATAGCACAGACAAGAGGTAGATACCTACTTGGAAGGAGCTAGCTAGATAACATCCAAAGTGAGGCCCTGAAGAAGATCCTGAATGCAACATCCAGATGGATACGGTTTCTTTTGAATCGTGGGTTTCCATCACATAGCCGCCCCGCGCTGAGTTTGTGGAGTGCCTGCAAATCTCTTGTGATCTAGTATGAAATTAAATTAGTAGCAAGGACAATAACGGGGGATCATACCATTCGTTCTGCCGAAAGGATGATACGGACATTCGTCAGGGCAATAATTAACTAACGTCATCATGTTTACAAAAACGCCAGCGTGGTTGATTTGTTGTCGTCTACTAGATATGAATATGATGGACGAACCTATCTATGCATATGCACATGATATATAGGCGGCTAAAATGAGATAAATCATTCAAACATACCTGGTTCGGCCGAGTTACGTACGTTGAAAAGCAGCCGGCCGGCTTCAAAGACGATTATTTCATGGATGGTGACACATTTAGAGCCTCAACATAATATGGCTAGTGAAGGTAACATGGAGTAGCAGAACACTTGTACACACATTTGGGTGCTGCGCGCGTGAGGGCAGCACCACGCGGATCCATGAACAGTGGCTTCTTTCTCCACCATACCCTCTCCGGTACTACTGGTTTTCTCCCTCGCACCTTCTTCCACAACTTATTGTCGTGGTTAATATCAGTAAGGATCACAAAGGGCCCCGCAAAAAAAAGTAAGGATCACAAAGGTCTAATGACATATTAGGATCCACATTTGTAAAAAGAAAAAAAACTGACTGTTACAGCATACACTGACATAGACGGCATGGAACAGGGGTCACATATGGTCTCCTAGCATGCATAAATGTAGACGGTAGAGAGTATACTATACAAGTTGCAGGATCAGATCCAGTCCCCGCACTGTTACAGCATACACTGACATAGACGGCATGGAACAGGGATCACTTCCATCCCATATGGTCTCCTAGCATGCATACATGTAGACGGTAGAGAGTATACTTGCAGGATCAGATCCACTCCCGCGCGTGCGGCTGTGTGTGGCGGAGCTGCATCCACATCTTTGCGCGGGCCAGCTAAAAAAATAGAACAGTCTTCACTAAACTTTAATTGAGCTGGGCGGGCCATGTCCTGGCTTTGCCCAGCCGTAGGTCCGCCACTGCACGAGATATATTAGGGCATCTCCAGCCGCGCCCTCAACAGGTCCTTCCTAAGCGATTTTGCCGCATTGGCGCTAAAAAAATGGCTCAGTCGCGTCTTCAGAAACCCGTTTTTTGCCGGCTCGGGCCAAAACTGGTGCCGGCGGACCCAGACCGAACCCGGCGCCCTGGGGGACGCTTGGGGAACCGGCACAAGCGAAAAAGGCGCGTGGGCCCGCCCTGGCGGCGACCCGAGGGCCTTTTCCCGCCGCTTCTTGACGCTTTTCCCTCGCATCTCCTCCGCTCGCTCGCCTTCCTCCCGCCATTCCCTCCCTTTCTCCCGCCAAACCCCCTCCAGCTCACCTTCCAGTCGCCGCCATGCCGCCGAAGAAGTACGCCATGCCGCGTGAGGCAGCAACCATGACTGGCACCGTGGCCCAGCCGAAGCAGAGGAAGCCGAGGGCGCCGCCATCGAAGCCACCGGGCATGTCGAACGCCGAGTGGAGAGTGGAAGTTCAGCGACGCGACGCAGTCACCACCGACCGGCGGAACAGGGCCATTGCCAAGAAGGCCCGCGACAACGCGGCGCGTGCGGCGGCGTCTTCCTCATCGGTCGACCACGCGGGGATGATGAATCCACCCGTCGTCAGCCACGCCCAGTACGCGCCCTGGGGACGGCAAGGCGTCGGATCTCCATGAGGATCGTCGTCGCGCGGCTACGCCGACGGCGATGCGCACGGGGGGTTCAACCCAAACGTGACCTTCCCCCATGGCCACCCCACGACGCGCACACCCTCGCCCGCCTTCGTCGGTGTGCAGTACCCTCCATACAACTACTCGCCGCCCGCCGCCTACGCGACCACACCGACGCCCCATCTCCGCCGTGGGACGCTGCCCTTCTCACACCTCGGCGACACGGACGACATAGGAGCCGACATGGACGACATCATCGCGACAGGATCGACCACGGCCGCCGCGTCTCCCGGGTTCGCAACCCAGGACGAGGTAGTGGATCTCAGCGGCGACATGGAGCCCGAGCTCGGCTACGTCTACGGCGAGGACGCGCACGAAGCGCAGGATCCCGAGGAGGAGGACGAGGACGAGGACGAGGAGGAGGAGGAGCCAGCTCCTGATCCGACGAAGGGGCGCCAGAAGAAGAAGCGGGCGGCTAGGACAGACGAAGCGCGCATCAAATGGACATCCAAGGAGGAGGAATGCCTCGCCGAAGCATGGAAAGTCGTCTGCCTCGACCCGACCACTGGCACGAACCAGAGCTTCGAGACGTACTGGGACCGCATGTGACGCCCCGATTCAATCGTACACTAATCATGCACGCAAATGTGTACGATCAAGATCAGGGACTCACGGGAAGATATCACAACACAACTCTACAAATAAAATAAGTCATACAAGCATCATAATACAAGCCAGGGGCCTCGAGGGCTCGAATACAAGTGCTCGATCATAGACGAGTCAGCGGAAGCAACAATATCTGAGTACAGACATAAGTTAAACAAGTTGCCTTAAGAAGGCTAGCACAAACTGGGATACAGATCGAAAGAGGCGCAGGCCTCCTGCCTGGGATCCTCCTAAACTACTCCAGGTCGTCATCAGCGGGCAGCACGTAGTAGTAGGCACCTCCGGTGTAGTAGGGGTCGTCGTCGACGGTGGCGTCTGGCTCCTGGACTCCAGCATCTGGTTGCGACAACCAGGTAGAAGGGAAAAGGGAAAAGAGGGAGAGAAGCAACCGTGAGTACTCATCCAAAGTACTCGCAAGCAAGGAGCTACACTACATATGCATGGGTATATGTGTAAGGAGGCCATATCGGTGGACTGAACTGCAGAATGCCAGAATAAGAGGGGGATAGCTAATCCTGTCGAAGACTACG